ATCACACTGCCACGTGTGTACCTATGCAACAATCTTGCATGTTCTTCACATGTACCCCAAAACCTAAAATGCAATAAAATAAATAAATGGGAAAAAAAAGTACTACATCAAATTTCTACGAAGATCTTTATTTGAGATCTCTTTCAGTAGTTACAGAGGCAAAATGAGCACTGCAGAGGTCCATGTGTGAGTTCTATTGCACATACTGGACTATCTGACTACTATTTACAGTGGAAGGATGAGAAAGAGGCCACAATGTACTTAGTGATGGAACAGTTGATACTTATGCCACCCCTTACTACCTAAAATGAGTAACTGTGTACTTGAAGTCATATTTTTTTTAGAGACTGGGTGTCATCTGGCCCAGCCAGAGTGCAGTGATACAATCATAGCTCACTGCAACCTTGATCTTTTGGGACTCAAGTGATCCTCTCACCTCAGCCTTTGGAGTGGCTGGCACCACTGGTGTGTGCACCACTCCCAACTAATATGTATATATCTGTGTGTGTATATACACACACATATATAAATATATTATAATTATATAATGTAAATTATATATATATATATATATATATACACATATAGTTTTTTCTTTTTTTATTGCATTTTAGGTTTTGGGGTACATGTGAAGAACATACAAGATTGTTGCATAGGTACACACATGGCAGTGTGATTTGCTGCCTTCCTCCCCATAACCTATATCTGGCATTTCTCCCCATGTTATCCCTCCCCAACTCCCCACCCCCCGCTGTCCCTCCCCTATTTTCCCCCCACAGACCCCAGAGTGTGTGATGCTCCCCTCCCTGTCTCCATGTGTTCTCATTGTTCAACTCCTGCCTATGAGTGAGAACATGTGGTGTTTGATTAGTTTTTTCTTTCCAGAGATGAAGCCTCCCTGTATTGCCCAGACCAGTCTCAAATTCCTGGCCTCAGGTGATCCTCCTGCCTCAGACTACCAAATTGCTGGGATTCCAGGCCTGAGCCACTGAGTCTGGCTGCATTATCTCACTTCTATGTGGAATCTATAACAGTTGAACTCACAGAAACAAAAAATAGAGTGGTGGTTTCCAGGAGCTGGGGGAGGTGGAAGGTTGGGGAGATGTTGGCCAAAGGGTAAATAAAAGATTTCAGTTAGGAGGAGTGAGTTCAAGAGCTCTATTGTAAAACACTGTGATAATAGCTAATGATAGTATTGTATTTTCAAAGATTGCTAAGAAGGTAGTTTTAAAGAGTTCTCACCACAGAGAAAATTATACTCAGGTGAAGTAATGCAGACGTCAACTAGCTTGATGTAGCTATTTAACAATGTATACATGTTTCAAAGCAACTTGCTGTAGACGATATATACCGTTTAAGTTTGTCAATTAAAATAAGTTAGTGAAATGTTTAGAATTAAAAACATACATTTATTACCTTGCAGTTCTGTAGTTTCATGTAAAGTCTGGGATGAGTGTCTTTGGGTTACAACTCAAGATGTCAGTGGGCAGTGTCCCTTCTCAGGGTGGTAGGGGAGGAGATGTTTTCTTGTGTTTTTCAGATTTGGAAAGCTCCCTCCATCCCTTGTCTCATGGCCTCTTTCTTCATCTTAAAAGCCAGCATTTTGGGGGATCCTTCTCATGTCGCTGTCTCTCTGGTTCCTTTCTCCTGCCTCTCTCCTACACTTAGAAAGACTCCTGGGATTCCACTGGACTCCCGCAGAGATAACCCAGGATAATATCCACGTTTCAGATCAGCTGATTGGTACCTGTCATTGGCACCTTCCAACTCATTTCCTCCCTTGCCTTGTCATCTCACATGTTCACAGTTTTCAGGGATGAGTTCCTGGACATCTTTGGAGGGTACTTATTTTGCCTACCAAATGCACCCTTTCTTTAAGTGCACCTCATCTTAAAAATGGCATTGTTTTAGGTAGGCACAGTATCTCATGCCTTTAATCTCAGCAGTTTGGGAGGCTGAGGTGGGAGGATCACTTGAGGCCAGGAGCTTGAGAACACCCTGGCCAATGTAGCAGGATCCCATCTGTACAAAATAATTTTTTAAATGCCACCATTAGAAAGAGGGAGGTAGAATGGATTCCATCCTGGTCTTAGCCCTTGTTCAAAGGTGTTGACTTGCATAAACTGAGAAGCCACAGTGGCAATAAAAAGTTCATCCCTTGCTACCCTCAAGGAGAAATGCCAGCTCCCATAAGCATATGACGTCTTTGTATATGTGTCCGTGTGCTAGGAAACAGATTCGCTGAGTTAATGGAGGCTTTGAAGTCTGTGCTGTCTTCTTCCTGGCTGCAAATTGTATGCGATGGCTCAAGGGATCCTCTCACTTCAGGCCTCTCAAGTACCTGGGAATACAGGCATGTACCACCTCTCTGGCTAATTTTTGTGTGTGTGTTTTGTAGAGACATGGTCTCGCTGTGTTGCCCCAGCTGGTCTTGAGCTCCTGGCCTCAAGTGATCCTCCTGCCTCAGCCTCCCAAAGTGCTGGGATTACAGGCATGAGCTACTGCATCTAGCTGACCTACGCACTTTGTTTTTTATTTTATTTTAATTTTTATTTTGTTTCTTATTTTGAGACAGGGTCTTGCTCTGTCACCCAGGCTGGAGGGCAGTGGCACGATCATAGCTCACTGCAACCTCTGTCCCCTGGCCTCAAGTGATTCTCCCATCTCAGCCTCCTGAGTAGCTAGGTTCACAAGCACACATCACCCTGCCCAGCTATTTTTTGTGTTTTTAGTACAGAAGGGATTTTGCCATGTTGAAATACACTCTCTTTATATAAAACATATGTCTATCTATTCCTGAGTACAGATCAAAAACATTTTTTATTATTTGAATTTGTAAGAGGCGTATGTGTAAATAGAAAAATAAATGCTTATGATAAAATTAATCATAATTAAAATTAAAATTATTGCATAATTAATATATTTGCTTAGTGAAATGTTAATATTTTCTTTAAATATCATTACTAACACACAATAAACTAAATCCTACCTTGGGTTTTATTACACAGTTTAGGACTTTTATTGCATGTCATAATCTTTGTAGTACCATAAATGAATTTTAACATCTCTAAGCACAGGAGAAGACCATATATTTCATTGCCCTTACCTTACAGCTAGTAAACAGTTGATCATTTCAGAAATCAAGCATTT